CCCTTTGACACCTCCAAATTATCCAAAATGTGTGATTTCACCCCCTATGAGAACCACTGAACTATTGCTGAAGTCAAATCATCTTACGTCACCACATTTCACCATCGTCGAAAAATCCTGCTGCTTGTTTTAAGTTAATTCAGACGATCAAGAACTTTAGAAACTTCAGCCAGCAGCATTTATGAAGAATCGACTGGAGTATCAACAGAGGCATCGACAACTCAATCACATTCTAAGACAATAAAACAATTACAACCAAAGCCACCAGTAACCCGAAATCCAAATCGAACGGCTGCAAATCGAACAGCTGCAATGCTTCCAACTGCATCTGTATTGCCAACAACAACTGAAGAAGTCGCCACAACACGTGAACCTTTTTATGCATTTTTTTACAAGTCAATTGCAGATCGTGCTTTGAGCCATAAGCCTCACTGAACCATTTCACCTTCGTCTGATTCACCCACCTGATTGATTCCATCTATCATAGCATTGTTTCTAATCCGCTTCTCATCGCAAAGCGAACTATGAGCTCTTGATACCATGATTACAAGCAATGGTTAGTTTCTGCGAAATTATCTACTAACAATTGTGCTTTTCCTTCACAGTTCCGGCTTATTGCCACAACCCGTGTCCATCGTTGCAATGGCGAGAAGGTAAGAATTACTGTTATCATTGGCTGAATCAGTCATTGTTCAACACATACGATGAGGCTATGCAATACTGTCGAGCGTATTTCACAATGGTCGGTGTTGAGGACTTCTTGTATGAGCAAAATATTCAACTATTCATGGAAATGAGGTTAGCACTTCAATAATTAGCCTCATTTCGGCACTTTCCATTTGTATTATTCATTGTGTCAAGCTCTTATTGATGAAAATTAAGATTCCAAAAACCAATCATCAGAACCATCATTTAATCTTATCGTTTGAAATATTTCCATCTTGAATTGGTCATGTAACGTTCACAGATCCGTGGATTAGCAGATCTTCTAGAATTACTGTGCTTATCGAATCAACGCGCCANAATTTCAGCTCAGAAATATCCAGTCGTACCGACTTGATATTCTTGTTCGCTCCGCTGACAACTGAATACAAACTGACTCGAATAGTGAGGATAGCGAATATAAACGCTAGCAGTGTATTTCGCGTGAGTGTCGCTCGTAAAGTGAGCAGCAGCTTGTCAGTTCAGAATGTTGGTGCAATATGCAAATTGAACAGTGAGTAGCAAATTATTGTTTCTTTTAAGATAGACGACGACTAGGTGTTTTCTTTGATGAACGATAGCCAGAAACAAGCGTATCTTATAGAATATTGTGCACCGGTGGTATGCAAGTTCGAAGCATTCGTTCAGAATAGACAAATATATCTGGAATTACCGAAGAAGAAATCTGTGCCTGAAGGAGCGATCATTAATATACCGTGTAAAGCGAATCCATCCGAAGTATTTAATCTGACTTATGCTTGCACGAGTACTGGTGAATTTCAGCCAGATCCCAGCGATCAGCGATGTGTCCCGTCAGTACAAACAAGTTAGACAAACATCTTTTGATAGACTTGCGTTGGCTTTGATACGCTAGGAACTTATTAATTCTGAACGCACTTCAAACTTTTCACTAAAATACGTGCATATTCGATTGTTACTAAACTGATTGGGCGAGATTACTTATCTTGTTCATACAGACTTCAGTAGACAACCTAACGATGGGACTATGATGAAACTTCTGCAAAGGAGAATTGCTTTTTGGTATTATTACATAACGCCTTACTTGTTCATTTGGATTTTGAGCATTTCTTGACGCTAGTAGAATGAATTACTGATAATTATTTCATACAACAATCAAATCTCGGCTTCACAAGACTCGAAGTATGTTCCAAAAGTGAGAAGATCATGTGATCAGTGTCATGCGGCCGGAACAAATCGTTGTGTGATTGTACCTGGTGGCTATAAGTTNTATTGAATGATAGATGCCGCAGAAAACTGAACCCTATTCACTCAGCTGATTTGTAATTCTTGTTATTCATTGACGACATGAACCTTTCTGTCTTACGAATGACATGAGCCTTTGCATCTTACGAAATAATACAAATGAGGTGATCATTTGTATCTTAGGAAATAGCTTACGAACTAACACAAAGGCGATTTTCATCATCACCTAACATACTTCTTTCCATATCGTTCAATGATATTCAACACATCAAGCAATTCCCGATGTTCTAAAATGCTGCGTTGACCATTTGCCGCGCAGCTTTAGGGATAACGAAGCTAGTTTTGCTTCTCGAGCAATGAGTCACTCAAAAAGGACTTGAAATGAGTGCACGAAATGTACACTGCATTTGATCAAGGAGATAAGTGGTGCGTATTGATCGTTAATATAATATTTCAATGCTAAGATGTTAACGTGCTGGATGGCTCCTGTGTTTTGTCACAAAGACACGTGCTCTCAACATGGTATATGCGTGAACAAGATTGATCATGCGGAGTGCATTTGTGACGAAGGATGGCGAGGACGATGGTGTTCGTTGAATATTTCGCAAATTTTTGGGCTGGCCAAGGATTTGGGCAATGCCACAGACAACCTACCGAGACAAACTATCGAAGAAATGCGTGAAATTGTGAGGTTTTTTAACACGATAGCAATTGACACAAAGAGANNNNATAATTTGCAGGTGGAATTATTCAATTGGGTACAGGCAGGTCTCGCACTTTTGACGTTAACTTCATTCGCCTCGTCAATAGTCATGGCAGCACTCACATCAGGATGCGATGATTCCGATTTTGCAAGTTATTCTCCTATTCGCCTGTCTGGTCATTTCAATGAATTTCGATTAATGTCTATGCAGAGGATTCAACGATTTTGCTGCTCATTTTTCATCAAGATACTGTTTGCTTCGAACACCTCCCGTTATTTCTTCATCGGAAGATTATTTTGACGATATCATTTGTGATTTTTATCAACAAATAAATAATTAAGTGTTCATGTGTGCTAATTATTTGAAATGATGCTTCAGGAACCACAAGCTGCCTTCCAGTCGCAACGTCTTCGTTTTGTAGCAGTGGCTGCAGGTGCGTCGTTTTATGCACGCAACCCGTATCGTTTCCATTTGGATCCATACTATGGATGCAGATTCTACTATTGGTTGGTCAATACGGCTTATGCTATTGGTGAGCCTTATCCACTTCGTTTCTCAACGTTTTACATCATTCTCCTATAATTCTTTGTCAGTAAGGCACACACCTGCTTTCCGTATCATTTTTACGTATCAGATCAATTTCCACGAGGGTAATAAGCCTTTGTTAGGG